GGCCCAACAGTGCAACTTCCAATGTAGTTTAGAAGTATTCTCCATGCAGGAGGAGTTACGATTGTTGGGTGGTGAAGTGCTCAGGCTTAAGAAGTTTGGGATCTAGGGAAACTTGAACTTGTGTTCGCCTGTTGATGGCTAACCTGTAACCTACACCCGAGAATTCCCAACGAATTTTGCCCCGAAGCCCTGAAAACCATGAAGAACGAAACTCAAAACCCCCAAACCTTAAACCCGTAAACGTTCGAACCCGGCGATATACCACACCAACCCCCGTGAGGCCCCTCTGCAACGTCGTTTGTTTGTCGGTATGCACAGCGCTTTCGAAAGGCTTTTGCCCTGTGGTTTTATTGCTAACAGGTGTGCCACCCCGACTTTTTTGGCCTTCAAGCGCCACATTTTTGCCGTATACGGGCGATCTGTCCAACAGGCGCGGCACTTCAGGCAAATTGCAACAATTCGGGCATGTCTGATGAAAAGGCCTGAACTAACAAAAAACGTATTATGATTTCGGAACGGACATCATGGTCGGGCCATGGATGCTCCCAGCTCACACCGCACTAGATTATCATGGTTGGGCCATTGATGCATGCTCTCTTCTCCCCAAACGGATTAGCCCATGGACGTCATCATGGTTGGGAAGCGAATGCACTCTTCTCAGATCGGCTCAGACCACGCATGGCCGTCATCATGGTTGGGCCATGGATGCTCTCACGTTATCATGGCTGGGCGGCTATGGATGCTCTCCCAAAGTGGATGAGGTTGGAATGGAGGTTATTACGGTTGGGGCATGGATGCTTGTGCGGCATGTGCGGCGTACTGCCTGGTTCGCGGAGCAAACCCACAAACCCTAAATGCCACAAACTCCTTGTCAGCCAAACTTGCCTCCACGACCGTTTTCTCCGAGTCCTTGGGCTGGGGCCTCTCGCACAGGCCGAAGGGACGGTTTGTAAGGCTGTAGAGAGGTTTTGTAAATGGTTTTTCCGGATTTCATAAGAATTTTATACAGTTCTTTTCAACTGTTTATAAGGGTTCTGAATAAATGTCAAGAAAAGGTCCTTTATGGGTTCCTCGAAGGGGTCCCACTAAGGGTTCCTTGAAGGGTACTATGGTAAGGTTTTCGGCTCCTGTGAGTGACTCCTTAAGGGTGCTCTCAGGGGTCTATAAAGTTTCTATAATGGGTGTCAGGTCCCCTATTTTCTGAAACTCCCTGTTAACACTCTCGTAATAAAAAATGTCCTTCTTGATGGGGATTTTTAATCCGACAAAGCCTTGAGTACCCTCATCCCCAAGCAGCCGGAACCCTAAAGTTCTTCATGAGATGAACTATAGGCCCCCGAACCCCTACAACTACCCAAACACTAAACGCCCCTGAACCCCTAAACCCTAAACCCTAGACACCTAAACCCTAAACGCATAAACACCTAAACCCCTAACCCCTAACCACTTAAACCCTAAACCCTAAAACCCCTAAACACCTAAACCCTAAACGCCTAAACCCTAAAACCCTAAACCCTAAACCCTAAACCCTAAACCCTAAACCCCTAAACCCCTAAACCCTAAAACCCGTAAAGGTTATGACAGTCAGACCTCCGAGCTCTTCTTTGGAGCTCAAGCAGCGCCTGCTCGCCTTGGAGCTTCGGTGTCTCTGGCTTTAAACTTTAGTTTAGGGTTTAGGGTTTAGGGTTTAGGGTTTAGGGTTTAGGATTTAGGGTTTAGGGTTCAGGGTTTAAGGCTTCGAAAAGTTGGGAGGTTTACGGGTAGGGCTTGTAGAACTTTGCGATTGGAGTCAGCGAAATGTAGTTGTGGAAAGTTGGGGCTTCGACTGCGGAACCGGGGGGGGGGGTGCTTGGGACTTTCGGGATATCCAGCACTTGGAGCTTGCTGAGGTTTGCTTTGTCTCCAAGGAATTCAGAATCATGACGAGGGGAGTTGGGCTGCAGTAGAGGTTCTGAAAGCAGGAACTGAATTTAGACAACGAGGGCTCGATGCAGCCGGCCGAAGCCCAACACAAACACCGGCTGCGTTCTGATTCTAATTGCGGTTGAGGACGCTCAGCTTGTATCTCCAGGAACGGTTTGTCTGCACTAGATGTTCGGGCGAACATGAGCAGATAAGATGCAAGCGATTTTGGAGGTGACAGAATCGCTTCAGGCAGTGTCGAATGTAGAAGTGACCACGGATGTCTACCATGGAGCACGCAGCCGCACAAGGGGGCAAGAGGTTTCCTCCCAACACACGGTCATGTGCTCAATCTGCTCCTTCTGGGAGGCGTGACAAACCTTCCACGGTACTGAGCTCTCGTCACGACTGTGTCGCAGGTCCTTGCACCATCTCTCATTGTCCAGTTTGAGAGCATCTTCACGTCGACTCCACATAGTCAGATGGAGGACTAGTTTCGTCAGTCATGCAGCGTTGTCTCAGGCGAGCCGGCGCTAATGTAGCCATTCCCATGACGCCACCTCGGACTGGATGACAGATTTCTTGTACCTGTCCAGGGCCTGCACCTTTAACGTGGTTGCACGGCACCGTGCTCTTGATCGAGCATGGCATATCTGGCCGTCGTCGGTCCAAAATCGACTATTGCCTGTACGAGTCAGATAGCTGCTGTCGAAGCAGCACTTTGAAAAGGGACTGATGCTTTTTAGGGCGGATTTCTAGGGCTCTACCTACGTCCACATCCTGAAGCTGAAACCGCAACCCGAGATCCTGAATCCTAATGCGGTCCAAATTATGGTCACTGCTGGTTGGTGCCCCAAACCACCAAGCAATCTTACTTGAATGCCCCAAAGCTTTAAAAGAAAGTCATACAACCAGCCGTCCTACTGAAACGTCTCTGACCCCTGAAGCCCTCCACCTGAAACCCTCAACCCTACAGCCTTCTGCCTCCTCCCAAGTCTGACCCTTTTGCTTTGTTTGGTTTAGACCCGCGAAACCTAGAAGCCCAGCAGCCGAAACCCACAAACCTTGAACCGCTCGAAGGTTCACGGGTTATAGGTGATTTTATTGGGTATGTTCAACAGCTTTGGTGGCTTTTTCCTTCCATCTAACGTTGGTGTTCCTTCAAGTGCCCAAACCCAACAACTCTGCAGAAACCATGCGGAAGGCGTTCTGCAAGCCTTACGGCCTGACGGCCTTACCTGCCCAGCCACGAAGGAGACCAGGGCCCCCACCCAGAGGGCTCCGGTGTCTCGCATCCAACTCCTGGACCGAAGCCACTCAATGAGGCCCGAACTGGAGAATCCTTTTTGTGGGTTAATAGGGTCTATATAGAGCTCCTACCCTATCTAGGGAAGGGTTTAGGGTTTAGGGTTTACTGGAGAATCCTTTATGTGGGTTTAGGGTCTAGATCTCCTGCCCTATCTAGGCTTTCTATATGGGGTTTCAGGGTTGTCACAAATGCAGGAGGCTACTGTGTAGGGTCCTGCACCGGGGTCCTTCTTTTGGGCTTGCTGGGTTGTGTGGGGCTTTATCAACGTATCCCAAGGTTTTACACTGTCTGATGCGAGTTGGCGGTGTTGTCAAAGGGAGCTCAGAAGTTGCTTTGTTTGAGGCTTCTCTCGGGTTTTACAAGGGAGTTGCAAGGGCTTTTGTACGGGCGTTTTCAGAAAGGGATCGGCACGGTTTTATAGCTGCTTTCATGGATGATTCAGAAGGGTTCTACCGGGTTATCTCGCTTGGGGGATTTAGGTTGCAGGGTTTATTGGTTAATGCGGGGGGGGGGGGGGGNNCAGGTTTGGCTTTGCAGCTGAACAGGCTGGACAGGTTTAGGCCTTGATCGCGCTAGAGTACGCTTATGGCCCTTCTCCAACGTTGAACGCATCTCAGGGCTGTACCTGTAGGGTTCACAAGGCCGTGTAAAGGTCTTTGGGGTTTAGTGGGCTAAGGACCGAGGATTTAGACGGGCTTGGAGACTTAACAGTCTAGGGTCTGGGTTGGACGGTGAGCTCAGGCTCGAAATGGCATCGCCCAGATTTCTCATGAGGCATCGGCCCTAGATATCCAGGACCTCTTGCTCTAGGCAGGTCTAAACAGTCTAAACAACTGCTACCCTGTCTATCTTGTGATATGTATATATATATATAT